GGAGCTGCTGGACCCATGCTGCTGGTGGCGGAGGGCCCGGCTCCCAGGCTGGTGGGGGCGGCAGGCGTCCTGCTGAAGAAGGCGGTGACTGGGACTCTGCCGGATGGCGACCAAGCCCATGACCTCCTCCCGCAGTGCCTCCACCTGACGTACCTTCACCCAAACACCCACCGCGCCCTCCACGCCATCTTCCAGCAGGTGGGTGTGGCTGTCTTGTTGTTGGGTGTAGTACACTGGAAGTATCAGGGTGTGTGGTGCCAGGGAGGTGTAGTGTAGTGCCAGGGAGGTGTAGTATACAGTGCCAGGGAGGTGTAGTATACAGTGCCAGGGAGGTGTAGTATACAGTGCCAGGGAGGTGTAGTATAGTGCCAGGGAGGTGTAGTGTAGTGCCAGGGAGGTGTAGTATAGTGCCAGGGAGGTGTAGTATACAGTGCCAGGGAGGTGTAGTATAGTGCCAGGGAGGTGTAGTATACAGTGCCAGGGAGGTGTAGTATACAGTGCCAGGGAGGTGTAGTATAGTGCCAGGGAGGTGTAGTATAGTGCCAGGGAGGTGTAGTATAGTGCCAGGGAGGTGTAGTATACAGTGCCAGGGAGGTGTAGTATAGTGCCAGGGAGGTGTAGTATACAGTGCCAGGGAGGTGTAGTATACAGTGCCAGGGAGGTGTAGTATAGTGCCAGGGAGGTGTAGTATACAGTGCCAGGGAGGTGTAGTATACAGTGCCAGGGAGGTGTAGTATACAGTGCCAGGGAGGTGTAGTATAGTGCCAGGGAGGTGTAGTATAGTGCCAGGGAGGTGTAGTATAGTGCCAGGGAGGTGTAGTATACAGTGCCAGGGAGGTGTAGTATACAGTGCCAGGGAGGTGTAGTATAGTGCCAGGGAGGTGTAGTATACAGTGCCAAGGAGGTGTAGTATACAGTGCCAGGGAGGTGTAGTATACAGTGCCAGGGAGGTGTAGTATACAGTGCCAGGGAGGTGTAGTATAGTGCCAGGGAGGTGTAGTATACAGTGCCAGGGAGGTGTAGTATAGTGCCAGGGAGGTGTAGTGTAGTGCCAGGGAGGTGTAGTATAGTGCCAGGGAGGTGTAGTGTAGTGCCAGGGAGGTGTAGTATACAGTGCCAGGGAGGTGTAGTATAGTGCCAGGGAGGTGTAGTATACAGTGCCAGGGAGGTGTAGTATAGTGCCAGGGAGGTGTAGTATAGTGCCAGGGAGGTGTAGTATAGTGCCAGGGAGGTGTAGTATACAGTGCCAGGGAGGTGTAGTATAGTGCCAGGGAGGTGTAGTATACAGTGCCAGGGAGGTGTAGTATACAGTGCCAGGGAGGTGTAGTATAGTGCCAGGGAGGTGTAGTGTAGTGCCAGGGAGGTGTAGTATAGTGCCAGGGAGGTGTAGTATACAGTGCCAGGGAGGTGTAGTATACAGTGCCAGGGAGGTGTAGTATACAGTGCCAGGGAGGTGTAGTATACAGTGCCAGGGAGGTGTAGTGTAGTGCCAGGGAGGTGTAGTGTAGTGCCAGGGAGGTGTAGTGTAGTGCCAGGGAGGTGTAGTATACAGTGCCAGGGAGGTGTAGTATACAGTGCCAGGGAGGTGTAGTATAGTGCCAGGGAGGTGTAGTATACAGTGCCAGGGAGGTGTAGTATAGTGCCAGGGAGGTGTAGTGTAGTGCCAGGGAGGTGTAGTGTAGTGCCAGGGAGGTGTAGTATAGTGCCAGGGAGGTGTAGTATACAGTGCCAGGGAGGTGTAGTATACAGTGCCAGGGAGGTGTAGTATAGTGCCAGGGAGGTGTAGTATAGTGCCAGGGAGGTGTAGTATAGTGCCAGGGAGGTGTAGTATACAGTGCCAGGGAGGTGTAGTATACAGTGCCAGGGAGGTGTAGTATAGTGCCAGGGAGGTGTAGTATAGTGCCAGGGAGGTGTAGTATAGTGCCAGGGAGGTGTAGTATAGTGCCAGGGAGGTGTAGTATAGTGCCAGGGAGGTGTAGTATAGTGCCAGGGAGGTGTAGTATAGTGCCAGGGAGGTGTAGTATAGTGCCAGGGAGGTGTAGTATAGTGCCAGGGAGGTGTAGTATACAGTGCCAGGGAGGTGTAGTATAGTGCCAGGGAGGTGTAGTATAGTGCCAGGGAGGTGTAGTATAAATGTAGCGCATGTTCCATGGCTCTTGTGGTGCATATTTTAAGTAATGTCAGTATCATAGCCCGGATGTTAAGTAAGATCACAATCTTGGCACAAGTGTGGTTGAATTAACGTTAGAATCAGGTGCTAAGTAGCGCCGGTGTAGTTATACAGGTGATAACGTCAAATATCGTGGTACAGATGAACAATGATAACATTATCACGGTCCAGGTGTTAAGTAATGTCATTATTACGGTTCAGGTGTGTCGGCCCATATGTGAGAGGCTTGGTAAAGCGGACAGGACAGCCTATCTCGCCTCCCTGGCCAGCCATTTCTCCAGGTAAGTCACACCATCCTCGTCACCACACCTGTCAGGTCACACCATCCTCGTCACCACACCTGTCAAGTCACACCATCCTCGTCACCACACCTGTCAAGTCACACCATCCTCGTCACCACACCTGTCAAGTCACACCATCCTCGTCACCACACCTGTCAAGTCACACCATCCTCGTCACCACACCTGTCAAGTCACACCATCCTCGTCACCACACCTGTCAAGTCACACCATCCTCGTCACCACACCTGTCAAGTCACACCATCCTCGTCACCACACCTGTCAGGTCATGTTTGTCCACCCGGCAGCTGACCCCATAGGCGTATTCAGCAATGTTCACGAACTGTGTGATGAAATGCGATATTTGTTCACAATTATTTGTATCTGCAGCACTTATGTGTGAAGCATTTAATGAGGTGCGACTCGAACACAGGAAGAGAGCGAATCATTGTTCATGGAAAGTGTTAGGTTCGAGTCGCAAGTCTGTAAATGGTTTCACCCACGCACTGCACATGCAAATAATTGTCATCAGAATCTAAACACCTAACCTCACTTGCGTCTAAATATGTACAATATGCAAATATATAATATAATTTACAGGTGAGAAAATTCCTGTTTTGATTAAACTGTTAAATTCATGACTGTGACATTGGGGTCGGCCGCTGGATGGAATAGACATAACCAGAGTACAGGTTGCAGTAATAATTAGTAATAGAACCTAAATACCAAACATAATCTAGGTCTAATTATACACAAAATTCTAATATGAGGTTGATTTATGTCTGAGAAATGCAGAGTTTGGATGCACAATACGTTAAAAATAAACGAATGCGTTTTTGGGATGGGAAGCAGCCTGGTCGAGCCTAGCCTGAAGACAGGTTGTCTGACTGAAGGCAATAATGATTCAAGAATTAATGAAAACAATTATTGATGAACCGTCATCAATTAGCTGTTGGGTTAACACACACACACACACACACACACACACAAGTTATCAGTCCCAAGTCTTCATTATTTGGGAGTATAAGGTTTCCGCCTGATACTTTTTAATATATGTTTCTTTGTCTAAGTAGAGAACCATAGGTAAAATTACCTTTTTCCTCTTGTGTCAGGCTCTGCGACCTGACGACCCCAGACCCGGCGCTCGACTACGACTCTGACGAGGACGAGGACCCCCAGAAGCAGGCGGTGGCGTGCCTGGGGGCGCTGAAGGAACCCGGGGAGGAGATGGACGATCAGAGGAGGGAACAAGGTGAGAGCAAGGGAGGTGAGGGGAACGAGGAGGTGCAGGTGAAGGATCCCAAGACGCTGCTCGTCAAGAACGTTAGGAGGCACTACGACAAGCACTCCCAGGTACGCCGCCAGGCTCTTGGTTTCCTTCACTTTAGTCTTGGGGCGCACACGCACTCCCTCAGTCTCTCTCCCTCTCTTTGGGGGAGACCTCTCGCTCTGGAGCAGACCTCTCGCTCTGGGGGAGACCTCTCGCTCTGGGGGAGACCTCTCGCTCTGGAGCAGACCTCTCGCTCTGGGGGAGACCTCTCGCTCTGGAGCAGACCTCTCGCTCTGGGGGAGACCTCTCGCTCTGGGGGAGACCTCTCGCTCTGGGGGAGACACCTCCCTCATTCTATCTCCCATTCTCTCCCTCATTCTCTCTCTCACTCTCCCTCTCTCTCACTCTCTCATAGGATATATAATATTAATTATACTATGGGGTATCACCTGTGACAGGAAGAAGCAGAGCCTCGGAGCACACACAAAGCATTAGAGGGGAGGTTTAGGTCCCCTCCAAAGCAGCTTCAATGTTCTTTATTCCTACCTCGCCCTAATTGTTATTAATGCTGTGCTTTATTAGGTATTTAAAGGTTACATGTTGTGCAGTTTTTGGAGCTCTTCAACGTCCAGGCAAGACGACGACTACACAACAATTCAATGACGTATTTAATGCTTCACAATAATACAATACTAGAGTACTTCAGCATAATGTTATTTTGCTTGATATGTTAGCAGTTATGTCGCCTTGTTACTTACAGACGAATGCATCCTTGTTAGGTTACAGTGATATTACAAAGAGTTAGTGGCATTTCATTGATATTAATGGTATTACAGTGGCGACAGTGGTATTACAGTGACGTTATAGAAATGTTAGAGACAATACAGTAACACTCTGATGTACTGGCTCCTACCGACAGGTCAACAGTGACGTCACACTGGAAGAGCTTCAGACCAGCTGGACCTGCAGCTTCTTGGAGCTGTCTGCCACCCTCGCCCACCTGCATAGTCACCCACGTAGGTACCCCACCTGCCACCCTCCCTAACCAACATTGTTTGATGCTGCCACGTTTTCTACGATGCTTCCCCCACCACTTTCTTTGATTAATCTTCACCATTTTCTATCATGCTTTTCAGCCGTTTTCTTGGAAAGCAAACCTACCGTTTTCTACATTGCCTCTCAACCCTGATGAAAGTGGGAATCTGGGTGATAATGTTGATCACGAGTTGATAGTATCGTGTTTAATGTTACTTTCTTTGTCAATGTATTTAAAATTGCAGTGATGATGGGTGAAGAAGGGAAGGAGGAGGAGGAGAAGGCAGAGGAGGTGATGGAGGAAGAGAATGGTGGAGGAAGAGAACTGGAGGAGGCTGTCTTGGAGCTGAGTGACCTCCATTCTGATCTCAGTGACTGTCACAAGTCTCTCGCTTATCTCCACAAGTTCATTAAGGTGAGACATCACGTTTAATGTAAGCCTTCACGCTCTGGGGGAGACCTCTCGCTCTGGGGGAGACCTCTCGCTCTGGGGGAGACCTCTCGCTCTGGGGGAGACCTCTCGCTCTGGGGGAGACCTCTCGCTTTGGGTGAGACCTCTCGCTCTGGGTGAGAGGTCTCATTTAATCTCAAATCGCAACTGTGTTTATTTTCTGACATTTTCCTTGACTCGCTAATATTCAGTCAAGGTTAACTAATATTAATAATTATTAGGTTCATAACTAATAGTTCTCTGGTTAACTAATAATACTTATATTAAGACAAATACATTTACATTAACGTCTGGGTAAGTTAAATTGTCCTATGCAGGCGATGAGTCACAATAACGTGGCTGAGGTATGTTGACCAGACCACACACTAGAAAGTGAAGGGACGACGACGTTTCGGTCCGTCCTGGACCATTCTCAAATCGACTTGAGAATGGTCCAGGACGGACCGAATGGTCGTCGTCCCTGCAGTTTCTAGTGTGTGGTCTGGTCAACTTAAATTGTCATGATTTCTTTTATGGTCGTCCGCTAATCTGTCCTGCAACTTGCATACTATCTCACCCACCTGTAGTCCCACCCACTTACCATACAACCCACCTACTATACTCTTTGACCCACCCACCTGTCCCCTGCTTCAGGTGGTGAGTGAGCGGCGGCTGGAGTCGTTGGCTGGCCACGCCTGGGACCTGCTAGACCTGCTGCTCCTGGTGTGGCGCCTCGGACGACGACACGGCATCAGCGGCAAGGTGCAGGTGAGTCCCCCGGCTTCTGGGAGCCCCTCGGCCCCCTGGAGGAACAACTCGGCCCCTTGAGGAGCTCCTTGGCCCCCTGGAGGAGCTCCTCGGCCCCTGGAGGTGGCCGAGAAGCTAATTTTATAATAAGGAATCAAATCTCATATATACATTTTCCATGTTTCAGTTGATCTTGGAGTCAGCAGTGGAGAGTCTGGTGGAACTGGTGACCCATGAACTGCGCCCAGTCAATCTCCTGCCCTCTAGCATGAGGGAACCACAGCCTTTCTTGGTCAGAATTTAAACTTTCTTCCTCTGTTGTATAATCTTGCTGGCCTAGTTTTTTCACCTAATAATTATCTTGCCTTCTTCCTACATTAGGCCAAGAGCCACACCACAGCCTTGAGTTATCTCTTAGTGTGGTATAGTGATTATTTAAAGTAAATTGATAACTTTTTGGTCAATTAGATGTGGAATATTAAATAAATTGCTCGGTTCACCTTAAATTTTATGTCGGCACTTGTTATATACAAATTGTTATATATACTTGTAAAATATTTATGTGACTTGGTGATAATTTGAGTGTGTGCGTGTGTGCAGGACTCTGCAGGCCGCGTGAAGGAGGCGCTGCAGGTGGTGGGGGAGTGGGAGGCCGCCGTGGAGCGCTGTGCCCACTCAGTCTCCAGGTCAGGTAGGGACAACCTGTTCTGTGTAACCCCGTTCTCCTTCTAGCACATTACATTTTGACATATACTTCACCTAAAACTGATGTACCAAAGCATGGTAGTGACTCGCGAAATTGACGTGATGTTCCGTTTTCTGTTCGTGGGTCCTTGGGTTGGTTAGATTCGGGCACGTCATAATTTTGAGCAGCTAACGCGGATCAATTCGAGAGGCTGAGAATGATAAAAATATTACACAAATCAAAGAACGTAAGTAATCAATGTAAAATATAAAGCACCAGAAATTTAGCTTCTGGGTCCTTTAGCACAGTGGTCTACGTCCTTGGCTCACACCCGAGGGATCCAGGCTCAGTCCCCGGGCGGGACAGAGACAGTCGGTGTTGTCTCTCACCCTCACCGTCTCTCACCCTCGCCGTCTCTCACCCTCGTCGTCTCTCACCCTCACCGTCTCTCACCCTCGTCGTCTCACCCTCGTCGTCTCTCACCCTCGCCGTCTCTCATCCTCGCCGTCTCTCACCCTCGCCGTCTCTCACCCTCGTCGTCTCTCACCCTCGTCGTCTCTGACCTTCCACAGCCAAGCGCCAGAGAGACGGTCGCCAGGACTTCGACCCCAAGAAGGTTCTCCCGACCATAGGGAGCCTCCGAGCTGTGTGTGTGGACCTCAGTGACATCATGAAGGTAGGTCGCTTCATCCGTTATACTGGGCTGCAGGTGACGAGTAGCAACCACCTGGCTGAGGATATAATGACCAAACCACACATCAAAAAAGGGGAAAAAATGACGACGTTTCCGCCCGTCTTCGACCATTATCAAGTCGTTTCCATAGACAACCGAAACGTTGTCGTTTCTCCATTTTCTTGTGCGTAGTTTGGTCATCTTGGACTAAATAAATGACAAGAGACAAGAGAATCAGCTAATCAGACATTGACTAACTGGGTTAAAATTGTGTTTAATGGTCCCATTTGCAGCAAAATCTTGCAAACAGATGGAGATATAAATGTACATTTTTCGGGGGTGTTGTAATGGTTCATATTCCCTTTCTGCAGGTTCTTCTGGAGGCGCAGACAGGGTTCTCGGGGGAGTGGTCTGCGCTGATCCGTGTCCAGGACCCCGACCAGTTAAAGTCTGTGACGTCGCAGGTGCTGAGAGTGCTCACAGCCTATGACTTCAACATCTTCTCCACGAGGAACCAGGACCGGTGGGTGAGGCAGAAGGAGGACTTCCAGCTGGCCGTGCAGAAGTGGGAGCAGGCGGTCGTCAGTGCTATCACAGAGAGCTTCAGGGACAGAATGTAAAGCTCAGGAGTTTTTACACATACACACACCCTTTGTCTACACCCTCGTAACTATGTTTTATCCAAAGCCTCATAAGTGTAACCTTTGTTACTTTTCACCTTTAGTTAAATTATGGACTGTTAATGTGGCGTTTATTGTGTTCACGTTGTACAGTAATTATCATGAACTTTCTATCTAGACTTGTTAACACTCATTCGAGAAGTGTTTCAACAGTCTCGGTGTTGCAGGACCTCTGAGCTGGTGACGGCGGTGGCGGGAGTCCTGCAGAAGGAACCTTGCAGGGAGAAGTTCAGAGAGGTGCTCATATCTCGCCTCCCGGACCTCCTCTCTGCGTTTGCCGCAGAGGTCAAGGGCATCAGAGCCGATTTTCAGGTGAGGCTCAAGTAATCAGAGGCACAACTGTGCTGGGTGGGCTTTAAAAAGGGCTGTCATATGATGGCTTCACTCTTACTCAGGTATATATTAGCTTAACTCCTGCGCAGGTATATAATAGCTTTAGTTCTTAACGGGTCAATAAGTCTATGGCCTGCCCAGTTATCTTATAAAAGCAAATAAGGATCTCAACCTTGATTGTATAGAACAAATTACCGGATAGCATAATTGTCGTGGGTTCACTGGATTATTCTGAGTGCAGGTTAGACACACATGAGTATGGGGGGGGATATAAATAGAAGCTGCCATGTGCAGTTTAACATGTTTCCATGTGTGTGTTGCAGGCCCAGCGGCAGGTAGAGAGGCCTGGCACTCAGGCACCGCTCTCTGGAAGGGTTCGGTGGATGGGCACCTACCTTACGAAGCGGCTGGCGGCCTGGACCACGCTCAGAGCTCTCTACTCTCAATATCAGGTAGTTACCGGAGTTCTCTTCATTGTATACGGACGGGAGGCGTGGGAATACCACTGGGCGGGTATCTGGTTAAACTTGGATTTTGGTACCAGATGGTGCCTTCCATAATCCATGTAAGCCATGCAGCCCCTCTGACTTGCCCATAATGTTCCAGCTTGAGTGTGTCTGAGCCGTGCAGGGACGCGGGTGTGGTACCGTCTTACAACTTCACATTTTTCTCATTTCCTGTTCTACCTCTCTGTTTTGAAGACTAAATGGCACCCTGGGGAATAACTGACTAGCTTCCCTTAAGTAGCTTGGATAATTCAGTAGCAATAAACGTCATCAACATATTTTATAACATTAAATCTAGCAATATTATCATCTCTCTATTAACTTTGCAGGAACAATAATGAAGTGTATTATGGTGACTGTGCCGGGAACATCTGTGGTCATACCCCAACACGATCACGAGAAATCCTTCACTTTCAGAAAACGCTGCAATGAAAGTCACGACCTTTCTTAATCCTTAGTGACTTTGTCATGTTTCTTCCAGGGTTCCGGGGCGGGCGGGGAGCTGTGGACGGAGGTCGGGGCGGAGGTGGAGGAGGTGCAGCAGGAGGTGGAGAGAGCCAGGGAGCGGATGGTGCTGGAGTGGGGAGAGGCAGTCACTAGACAGATCCCTAAGCTCCTCGTCACGCCCGTCCTCGCTAGAGATGACCGTCACTCCGGTATATACTTCTGTCTGCACTTGCTTCTACATCTTTGCGTATACACATGTGGGTTTTTGTTCCAGCATATCCAGATACGGGGTTTGGTGCCAGAATATCCACATACTGGTTTTGGTTCCAGCATGTCCACGTAATGTTTGGTATTCACGTGGTTTATAATGCCAACATAGTCCTTAAACCCAGCATATATACGTGGATTTTGGGTCCAGCCTATCCACATGGCTCTTAATCCAGGCATATTCAAATGATTCTCAAGCACAGTATATTCACATCTTCCTATTTGTCGCAGTCAATCTGTACAGTTTTGTCAATTGCGATAAACCCACATTTATCCGTTTATTGCAGTGCATTTTTTTCGTAACAGTGGAAGTTATACCGTCTTTTTTCATGCATGAAATTCGTATGTTTTCTTCTGCAAATGAAAATCTTCAGATTTTTTAGCTTCTAGTTTCCCTTTCTAACAAAAGACATGAGGGTAGTTTGTACATGAATTGTACAAACTTGCCAGTCTTGCCTGTTGAGGCTGGCACTGTCAGTACATGCTCTGGGATACTGGGATACATGCTTTGGGATACTGGGATACAATCCTCTCCATGCTTGGATACAATAATATAAGTACCAGAGATTTATTCAGCTGAATAACTATCTTGTTTTCCTAAAGTAAAAGGAACGCTTGATTACACACAGAAATCACAATAGCGTGATGCATCAAATGAACAAATCCACAAGGATCCTCTCGGCCGCAGGTTCGAACCCTCGTCACGGCCCTTGTGGATTTGTTCAACGCTTGATTATTCCTAGGGTTTGGTTAGTCTTTTTTTTTTACTATTGCTTCCACCTGTTGTGGAACTTTTAGTGAATTGTAGATTGTGACTCCAAGACGTGTAAACGAAGTATACGGGTATATCCCTTAATTCGTTCTCTTATAGATATATCCCTTAATTCCGTTGTCTTCACCTCCTTTACCATAAGTTTGAAAGCGTTCAAATATAAGGTCTATAACATCTTATAAAGTCAAACAACACAACATTTCGCCGGATAGAGCTATATAAAACAGCATAATATAACACCAAATGATGCATATATAACCCACACATAACACCTTTATAAACCACACCACACTTTAAAAAGCCTAAATCATCGACCTGGTTAAATAAACCCCAAGACCCAACACTCCTACAGCGAGTGAAGCGTCTCGGAATATTGATGTCATCAGTTATCCTGCGTGACGGTCACATCGCGTGATAACATTGATACCGGTGACGTCAGTGGGTTCCTCCACGCACGCCACCTGGACGTCCAGGTGGTCTAGATTGGTATTTAAGTCTTAATTCACAAGGTAAGGTAATTATCAGGAGCAAGCGCTACAAACCCTTAAGACTACGAAGCACTAGGAAAGGATAAGAACTTAAGATGTACTTGTGTATCTTAGAACGTAGTGCCCAGTATTTCTGTTTCTTAAACATTGACGTCTTAATGTGCAGTGTTTTCTATTTCTGAGAAAGTGACGTTTCATTGTGCCATATTTATGATTCTTAGAAATTGACGTCAGAATGTACTATTTTTCCGTTTCTTAGTGACGTCATACTGTACTATGTTCCAGTTTCTTAGATAGTGACGTCATAGAATACTAGTGTCCTAGTTCATAGAAAATGACGACATAATGCACTATTTTCTTGTTTCTATAGTGACGTCATTATGGGCAGTGTTCCTATTTCTTAAAATATATCTGTTTGTCATTAATTTTGTAACTTTGTGAACAATACTGAATATTCGTTCAGTATTGTTCCCAATATGTTCACTAATATATATTTTTTAATATACCTAAAGGGGTCCCACCTCTGGAGTAATAGTAGGGACTCATAGCCTCGGAGAAGAAAATAAAGAGTACTCAGAGACCTTGTGGATCCTCTCTGAACACTGATATTTTCTTCTCCTACCACCCTTATTCTTTTTGTATATGTACTCACCTAGTTGTGTTTGCGGGGGTTGAACTCTGGCTCTTTGGTCCCGCCTCTCAACTGTCAATCAACTGGTGTAGAGATTCCTGAGCCTATTGGGCTCTATAAAGGAGCTTGGCAGCGGTGGGATTCGAACCCACGCCTCCTGAGAGACTGGAGCCTAAATCCAGCGCCTTAGACCACTCGGCCACGCTACCTGTGTATATGTGTGTGTGTGTGTGTACATATATATATATATATAATATTGTGACAGGAGTCGGAGGGTGGAGGGTGCAGCTGCCGGGAGAGCTGCAGTCGGTGGTGTGGGAGTCCGGCCAGCTGCTGCAGGCTGGCATCCGGCCTCCTGACCTGGCCACTCACCTCACCCTCCACTACCAGACTCTCCAGACAGCCGCCATGGGCCTGCATCTGACCCTCAAGGACTACCATGCCGTCCTCGATCAGCTCAGTCCGGTACAGGTGGGGGACATGACTCGTATTTCTTCCTTTTCATGTTTTTTTCGGATTGTGTCAGAAGTTATTTTGGAAAGTCTTTGTGGCTTTGTTCATGTGGCGTCTTTCGTTGTCTCTCTTCTCCTCTGCTTATTCATCCCTTCCTCTCCTCGTATCTCTTCTTCTCTGTTCATATCTCTTCTCCTCTGCTCATATTTCACATCTACTGTTGTCCTCATCACCGACTTATCCTGCACCTTTAAATTTATTCCACTTTTTATCTTTTTTATCTTTTTACATGAAATAAAACTGGTAATATTAATTCAGGTAATATTAATACCCGAGATAATAATTACATTGCGATAATGTAGATAGATAATATAATAGTCACCTCAAAACAATCGACATGAAACTTGCTATATATAAGTCATTCTTACAAGTGGGGGTTTGTGCTTCAGCGGGAACTGCTGAGTGCGGAGCTGGCCGGGGCGGACCGGGTGCTGGCGGCCGGGCAGCGGGTGGTGACCTGGTCCCCGGCGGCCCTCACCCACTTCAGCGCCTCCTGCAGAGACGTCATCGAACACGTCAGAGCTCTAGCTAATAAACTAATCAGGTGAATGAATAATGGTAGCAGTCTTTCTCGTAAACATATTGAATATGGCAGAAAATGATTATATATTTCAGTTTAGTCAGGAATAGAAGCTAGACTAATTGGGAGAGTGTAATGTGATGTTTGTTGGGCAGTATCACGGTGCACCTGGAGGACTACCTGGGCGCCATACACCAGCGGCGCCTCCTGCGTGTGGACCCCTCCAGGGCCCATTACTCTCGCCACCCTCCCTCACTACAGGTCAGCTGGCAGATGTTTTATACCGGTATATATATATATTTCAGATGTTTTATACCGGTATATATCTGAAGTGGGTGCAGGCGATGAGTCACAATAACGTGGGTGAAGTATGTTGACCAGACCACACACTAGTAGGTGAAGAGACAACGACGTTTCGGTCCGTCCTGGACCATTCTCAAATCGATTCACTTGAAAATGGTCCAGGACGGACCGAAACGTCGTCGTCTCTTCACCTTCTAGTGTGTGGTCTGGTCATCTGAAGTGGGTAATTTTCTTTCACATATATGGCCGGTTGAGTCACATAATGAAGTACAGAATGGCGTTATATTGGCTGTAATGTTGTTTTCATGTATTATAAGAACATTCGGGAAGACGGAACTTTTGATATTATGCTATTATTCAATGATACATCACATGTCTTGCCTCATCTAGCACCCCTCCCTCAGTACCACGCTCATCAAGACACACACGGCATCATAATAATTAACCCACTACAGGAGCTGCTAGATGTAGGTAGAGAGAGCTGCGACGACTCCATTGACGAGCTGGTTGAGACCTACGACAAGTTGGTGACTACGCTGGGCTCTGCCGGGCTCTTGCTGGCCGGGGCCGAGGACGGTGCTCCAGAGCCCTTGGCTGCTCACATCCGCGCGGCTCCGGAGCTCAAAACAAGACTGGCGCCGTTCCTGCTACACTGGAAGCGCAGCATCCAGGAGGGCATCACCATGTGAGAGGCAATGGTGTTCTGGATTGTAGTTACTGTTAAGATATGTTGACCTTGGGGCCTCGTAGCCTGGTGGATAGCGCGCAGGACTCGTAATTCTGTGGCGCGGGTTCGATTCCCGCACGAGGCAGAAACAAATGGGCAAAGTTTCTTTCACCCTGAATGCCCCTGTTACCTAGCAGTAAATAGGTACCTGGGAGTTAGTCAGCTGTCACGGGCTGCTTCCTGGGGGTGGAGGCCTGGTCGAGGACCGGGCCGCGGGGACACTAAAGCCCCGAAATCATCTCAAGATAACCTCAAGATAACCTCAAGAAGATGGATTTTTTATTATCTGGACATCCAACTCACACATCTGAAAATAAAGAAAGTAATTGAATAAAATAATGAATGCTCTCATCTTTAGCGTTCAAGTTGAACGTTCTTTCATCTCATTTGTTCAGATTATACATACTTTCATAAAGTGAGCGAAAACTTAATGTTTTTTCATTAAAGTATTACAATTTCACGCCCTTTCATCGTGTTCAAATCGCACGTTCTTCCATTAAAAAATAAGTTAAAAATACATATCCTTTCATGGAAAAAAGTATTGAAAAACATGTCCTTTCATCAAAACATTTCAGCTTACACTCCCTCTGTTTCAAAATCGCATCAAAATCATCCTATCTCAAATGTTTCTACAGGATGTTAGTGAACAGCATTCGTCAGGTGGAGGGCTGGCTGGAAGGTGAAGAAGTGGTGTTTGGTGTCGAGTCAGACTTAACAGCCACGTCGAGTCTGACCCTAACCCCTTCTGCTCGGACGCTCTCCTCCACCCTGGCCCACGCTCTCGGACACACTGTCAGAAGGTGAAGTCAACCTCTTGATAATAAACATATTTATGATTATATAATGCAGACGAGGAATCACAATAACGTGGCTGAAATATGTTGACCAAACCACACACACTAGAAAGTGAAGGTACGACGACGTTTCGGTCCGTCCTGGACCATTCTCAAGTCGATTGTGATGAAATTTGATGAAAGGACGAAACGTCGTCGTCCCTTCACTTTCTAGTGTGTGGTTTGGTAAACAGGATTTTATAATTTATGGCAACCATAATAAACATTGAAAGTAGCTTGTATGGTTATATTTCCACCTTGGTAGGTAAAGTATGGAGGGTTGAAGCTTGTATCTTGGCGCTATTGGGATCAGGTGATGATTTAGTGTGAGGCTGAGTCAAGTACTGCTAGAATCCTGCTATCATTCAGTGCTAGGCTTGGAGTCTGGCGCTAATGGGACCAGGTAATCGTTCAGAGCTACAACTCCCTCTGCTAACATTATCTACCCTCCCGACCTACAGTGCCATGGCTTTCCGGCACTGGGTGGAGCTTGACGATGGCACTGTGTCACTCAGTCCGGCACCCACTGCTGATGATGACACCCTCGCAGCATCTACCTTCTACAGTCAGGTGTGTGGTGCTGGTGTGTACGAACAGTTATAATGACTGTGAACAGCTGTCACTTTAGATTTCCTAATATCCCTGTGTCTAACTTTTTCTTCCGTGAAGTCCCGAGTAATTCTGTCTTATTAGTGACGACCTGACTATTGCATCCTTATCAAAGGTGATCTGATAAGAGCACTTTGTTCTTATGTCCATTTTTCCAATTTTATTCTCCAGCTGTCATTACTAGGTGTATATATAGTCACCAGGTGTATATATACTCACCAGCTGTCATCACCAGGTGTATATACTCACACGGATATGATAAAGCCATAATCCATTTCTCCTAGACATGAAACAGGCGGTAGGTCTCTCTCACAAGTATGACTGAGGTGTGTTCTCTCAGGTGTCTGGGGACCCTCGTCTCCACGCGGCCATTGAGAGCGTTCAGGCCACCTTCGCCAGAGTCATCCGTCAGCTGGATATTGATTTACAGAGGTAAGTTTTGGCGGAAGTGAATGCCAATTATCCTTCAGACCTATAGGGCCATAGGAGGAAGTTCCTATTTATATCCACCCAAGCTCATTCATATATATGTCTAACCTGCTCTTGAAACATTCCAGCGATCCCACTTTTATTGTGTTCGTTCTAGACGTCTATTGGGTTCGTTCTAGACTCACAATCGGGAATCTTGGGTTCGTATCCCAGACGGGACACAAATGGTTGCCCATCTTTCCTATCACCTAATATCTCTGGTCTTCTAGCAGTAAATAGGTACCCGGGAGTTAGTCAACAATTGTGGAGTTGTATCCATACGAGGGTCAGTAATTCGACTTTGGATGGGACCTCGATATCAGCATAATATATACATACACACGCTGCCTGTCCCCGATAAAATGAATTATTAAATATGTGTTGACACTGCCCTCAGCTGGCACGCGTACGAGCACGTCTGGCTTCGAGACAAGGCCGCTACAGTGTCCAGGTTCTGTAGGAGTGGCCCCTCCGTCAAGGACTACGACGACAAGCTCAGGTTCTACACGCACCTCGCTACAGAGCTCTCGCAGGCGCCCCAGCAAGTAACCCACGGCTGCGTCAGGTTGGCCTATTATACAACTCCTTTTTTGAAGAAATATTTATATAGTTTAAGAAATATGATTTATATATATTGAAACGTAGAATGGTATGTTGAAATAGTAGGTAATCATATAATTACTGTTCCTCTCATTTATAGCAATTATAATTTACTTCAATAATTTTTCATTAATTTTGATAGGCATGTTGGGAGTGGGGGAGGGGGTTATGTTAAGATAGGTGTATGATTGTGTGTCAAGATGGGAACACCTTGAGATAAATGCATCTTAAAGTTCGGGTTTCTTGAGATAGGAACATCTTCGAATCGCGCACGCTATTTCCTAACCCCAGGTTTTCTCATATGTAGATCATGAATATTTCCAGGGATGCTTATATATCGGCCCAAACTTGCAGAATTACGTATTACCAATATGTATGTTGTTGGTAAGTCTTACACTCGATCTTCCATGCGTGTAAGGCATAGGGAATTTTTTGTGTAAGGGAGTATTTTTTCTAAGTGTTAAAGATTCCATTCTAAGCAAAAACATTTACGTTAATTGGTGAGGTTTTTAACAAGCAAAATTGATTCGTGTGTTCGTGTTGCAGTTTGGATGTTCACGTCTTGGTGCGTCAGATAGTGAGCCACGCTGCCGACTGGGTGAAGCTGCTTGGTGACGGCCTTCTGCAGGAGGCACAGAGTCGCCTTCAGCACGTCCTTCACCAGGTCACTGTGAGTGTTGCAGGCCACGGGTTCCTTCACCAGGTCACTGTGAGTGTTGCAGGCCACAGGTTCCTTCACCAGGTCACTGTGAGTGTTGCAGGCCACAGGTTCCTTCACCAGGTCACTGTGAGTGGTGCAGGTCACAGGTTCCTTCACCAGGTCACTGTGAGTGGTGCAGGCCACAGGTTCCTTCACCAGGTCACTGTGAGTGGTGCAGGCCACAGGTTCCTTCACCAGGTCACTGTGAGTGGTGCAGGTCACAGGTTCCTTCACCAGGTCACTGTGAGTGGTGCAGGTCACAGGTTCCTTCACCAGGTCACTGTGAGTGGTGCAGGTCACAGGTTCCTTCACCAGGTCACTGTGAGTGGTGCAGGTCACAGGTTCCTTCACCAGGTCACTGTGAGTGGTGCAGGTCACAGGTTCCTTCACCAGGTCACTGTGAGTGATGTAGGCCACAGGTTCCTTCACCAGGTCACTGTGAGTGGTGCAGGTCACAGGTTCCTTCACCAGGTCACTGTGAGTGGTGCAGGCCACAGGTTCCTTCACCAGGTCACTGTGAGTGGTGCAGGCCACAGGTTCCTTCACCAGGTCACTGTGAGTGGTGCAGGCCACAGGTTCCTTCACCAGGTCACTGTGAGTGATGCTGGTCACAGGTTCCTTCACCAGGTCACTGTGAGTGATGCAGGTCACAGGTTCCTTCACCAGGTCACTGTGAGTGATGCAGGCCACAGGTTCCTTCACCAGGTCACTGTGAGTGGTGCAGGTCACAGGTTCCTTCACCAGGTCACTGTGAGTGATGCAGGTCACAGGTTCCTTCACCAGGTCACTGTGAGTGATGCAGGCCACAGGTTCCT